CTTTTGTATCTTTTTGCTCTTGGTGTAACAAAAATAAAGACTTCCCAGTCTCTTTGATCCCCAAGCTAATCAAGATATCAAACATGACGGGTGCTTTTTGTATCTAAACATTCCATAACATCAAAAGTGCACATACCGCAAGTCAAACCAAAACATCACATTTATCACATTTACGTTCCATTTCCACCACTATAGTCTTTGCATCGCATCTGTTGGTTTAATGTCTAAGAGATGAAAGAAATTTGTAGCCCTAACATCACACGAATAATACCTCCCAGTCGCGAACATTGCCATTTTGAAAACCTTTTTATCCCTTTGCTCAGACTGTGACAGAGTGCGGACTCAGATGAATGGCGGATGCTGTCAGTGGTGGAATTGTCTCCTTTAGTGGCGCGTCTGGTTTTGGAGTATCGCTGCTAATTCTTGAGTGCCTTTGTTGTCTTATCCAGCGGGATTGACACAAATATTCCTCCTGGCTTTTGTTCGGCTCAAACCACCACATTGTCTGGCTTCTATATTTGCGAATTACAAAATTACACTTAACAATACGCATGCAGGGGTCCGAGGCTTTTGAATGACAGTGCTTATCGGTGGTAGGCGTTTCTCATTGATATGCAAATGTTTTGGTTGCTTTTTAAAATATGTCCACTTATCATTCATGCTTTTCTGGGGGTCTTAAAATTTCTCCTGCGGTTACATAAACGGCTAGCATGATTACACAACGCATGCTTCCAAGGCACAAAGAGCTATTCTGCGTAAACAAGCATGGTAATCTATTATGGTTGGGTCTGGGTGATGAGTCAGGCCAGTGAATGCACCGTGATATAAGGGAAGAGCTTTCATGTTTTGAAACAGAAGAGACACAGAAAGACTAGGGTGAGATGGGTGAAAATCAATGTACTGCGTGGTGCTGTACTTTTGTAGATGTTCTGAGCAGACCTTTTTGACAGAATTTTTTTTGTTTTAGATAAAGCAAAGAATATTTAAGAAATGTACAAAATGTGTTGGTTTAAACTAATTGGGCCACTTTTCATTAGCATATTTGCACGAGTTGTATTTTATTTTTTTGTCGGGTATTAACAGCTAACTATAAACTGTAAATATAAATGGACATATCTAACCTGCAAGCCGCCGCATTGCAAATACAGGGTTACCACTCTTTTTCACTGACAAAATTTCCAAATTTTCCATGACTTTTTCTAGCCTGATTCATCACTTCGTTTCACTTCGTACAAACCATCTGACCTCGCAGTGTTAGAATTTGTTTGCTCGACAGTAGGCGGGTACTTTTTATCATTTAACCAATCGCTGCTATTTGGTTGTCACGTATGTAATGCGCTGCTAACGAGGATAACTGGTATATTAAGAGTTTCCCAAATCCAGTAGGAAGAAGGGCAATAACGTCTTTCCCCTTGATAAAATTCACCAAACATTCTCTTTATTCTGGCTTTAAATCCTCGATCTCGGGAATCATTACCAACTCTGAATGTATGGCTCTTTGCTAACCACCTGGTGCCCGAACTCGCACTTCCAGGGATTTTGCGAACTATCTAGTGTATTTTGATTCCTGACCTAGTTGCTGAAAAGAAATGAAATTGAGTGGAGGCACTAGGTGGCACCAGCCTGGCTAGACTTTTTCATGACCTAAAGTGAAATTTTCCACTCACCTTATGGTTTAGGATTATAGTTTTTTAACATTCAAAATACTGTCAGTGAATTTATTGTCGACTTTTTAAACAAAAGGCGCATACGTCAAACAAAAGGCGCATAATCATAATGAGAACTTAACAGAACACTGTAGTTGCGTGAAAGAGATACTAAAATCCCATGACTTTTCCAAGCCTGGAAAATGACATTTTCAACTTCCATGGCTTTTACAGGATTTCCATGACCATGGGAACCCTGCAAATAGGAAATGAGCATGGGCGCGTTTCTGGCTTCATTGACTCTGTCTCCAGTTCAGTTTGTATTGAAAAAACATCGCCCCTCTCTCTGTAACAGCTCCTGTCAGGCTCATCATTTTAATGTTGTATTAACCCACTCTACATGATCCTGGTGTTTTTATTTTGCTATTTTGTCCATAAATCAATTCCTAATTCTAATATGGAACTTGGCTTCAAATGTGTCACTTTTCTTCCTAACACTGAAAGCTTCATTTGACTGGAGCTGAAACCTACGGGTGACGTCACACGCCCTTAGTCCACATCTTTATACGATCTATGCTGCTTCCACATAACATATTTAGAACATGTTCATTGTTTTGAAATGCTATATTCGGTGAAAACTACGTATTAACATGTTTTATAACTTCTGTTTTGTTCTGAGTCTTCATGCTAAGTCAGTGTGAACAGTTTAGTATCATGCTTTGGTATATTTATGGAGAATTGTCATATGGGAGCTTGGATGACGTAGGCTTGTGGGCTGAGCATGGGACAGAATTTCACAGCTAACCGTAAGGAGGGTTCGAATAGGGCTCAAGAGAGATTGCTAAATGAATCAAGCATGTTTTTGGTTCATTCTTTAAGTAAATAATAATTTAAGATTGTGAATTTCCAGATCAAGCAACATTTGTCTCCAAGTTCTAACCCTCTACCAGAAACGTTTGTGCACTTTAAATACATTTTTAAAGAATCAACTTAAATATTCTATTCACATCAAATCAAAACACACACAGACCTGGAGTTAAGTGGCAATGAAAACACAAAAACTCCTTTGCGTCGCATGAAATGTGGCAGACCTCCAGACCTGTTTCTATTACGCTATAAAACTACTTGACATGCAGCGGATGCCTTGACAAACAAGCGGATTCTTTTTCTGATAAAGGCCAGACAAATGGCATCTTGTAAGTGTTTGCGGCGAAATCTTTGAGGATAATATCTCCCTGGACCGGACCGAATACCAAATGAGGCGTGCATGGGGTCGGCACCTGTCCAGCAAGCATAAACAAGCCCACACTGAAAAATGCACCAGTCAATCTCCGCTGACTGAGTTATGAAATAGAGCGATGCCAGAAACACACGAGGAGGCACAGTGAGAGAGAAGCAGCTCATTCACATCCAGGGCTGAATTAAGCAGCCTCACAGCTTGATAGGCAAGCTGTTTTGGCCGTCCAGCGTGACCAGTGGGGCTGTGAGATCAATAACATCTGTCAGAGATATCAGCTCCTGTTTAGTCATATTGGTATCACTGGATCCGAATATGCTCGGGTGATAATATGATTAATACCTCTTATGCAGGCACAAGAAATGGTTATAAATATTTAAAGTGCAAGATTTTTTTTTTTTTAAATATGACTTATTTTTGCAAGAGAATGCAATCATGTGGCAGTTTGTGAAGCAATAGTTTACTGTTACTTTATGTAACAGTAAAATATTGTACAATTACTAATGGATAACACTATGTCCTGTCAATCATCATATCATTGTTGCACTGTCTTCCTATGACCTTCTGTATATAACTGAGATTTTATATTTTATTTTGACGTGTACATATACATTTACATAAGTATGTCTTATTTCACATCTGTCTCTTGCTGTCTTTGTGCTACTTATTTTGAATTCATTATTACCATTTATATTTTTCTCTTTGTTATTATATTATATTATGATGTGTGAGCTACTGTGTCCAAATAATTTCCCTTGTGGATCAATAAATTTTGTTGAAGTCTAAATATTGACAAAAAAATAATTAAAAGTAGAGATAAATTCTAAAACATATTGATGACAAGTCACGTGAAAATCACTTTAAAGGTCCTATATTACACAAAATGAATTCTTGTGAGCTTATAGCCATTTTATAATCCTCTTACCTTCTCAAAAACAGACCTGGAGTTATGTTTTGTTTCATTCACACATGTTTGAGTAATCCTGCATTATTAGTCTGTCTTCATCTCCAAAGCTTAAAATGCTCTGTACCACCTTATGATGTCATGTAGTGGTAGTTTTCAAGTTAAAAACCTTTTACCTTTAGTCCAAGTTTCACTGGAGTCAATTTCAAGTTTGAAATCATCCCAATGTTTCTAGTGAAGGTGTATGAAGTTCAAAAACGCAGTGGAGCACAGTGGAACAGAATGTTTTCAATATTTGTGAGTTAACTGTGTGAGTGAAACAAAACACAACTCCAGGTCTGTTTGTCATGAGGAAAAAGCGTACAATACATCAGACATAGTGTAATACAGGCTCTTTAAACATGAATTTAACTACATTTGCTGCTCATGTTCAACCACGAAGTTATGAACTTCACTAACTGTCAAAGCAAAATCTTAAATATAATATAATTGTAGTCCAACACATTAAGCACACACTATTTAGATGAATAATTTTTAAACCACCAGCAGCTCACTTTTGTTAACACTAGAAAGAATATTTAGCAACTCAAAATGTTTTGTAGTGCCATTGTTATTGGAGACAAACTAGATCCCATTAGCACCTTTTTATTTCAATGCCAGTAGCACCGACCAAATATTATTAAAATCCTAGATCAACTGTAATGCTTCTCTCCTCTGAACAAAACACAAAGTAAAACTTACTTATCAGCTACTGCTATACAACATTTTACTGTGTTACTGTTACAGATTTTCATGGAGATTAACCCAGTAAGAACCTTGAATATTTTCTGGTTGTGTTCACTTGATGCTATTGTTCTTATTGACATTATTTGGAGAAAGCTGCAGTACTTGATTTTTACAGTGGAAGAAGTAAAGAGGCAGAGAAGACACTGAACTTTGTGCCAGTTTTGGTTTCATATAATTAGCCCCAGTACATACAAACTGATAACCATAATCCAGGTCAACAAAGCTGTAATTTAATGGCCAAACAGCAAATTTTACCTTTAATTCTGACCTGTCCTAGAATAGACCTAGACCTTCTTGAACATTATAATATTACGTTAACCCAACCTGTGGTATTGAATAGATGTGGATATGCAAACTGACTCCATTTGGTCACACATACTATACTCTGTTCTGCTGTAGTATTGCTGGTACTTGGAGCAGTACTCACCCACGGCCTTGAGCGAGGCGTACTTGTTGAGGTCCTTGCTGGGCTGTTGCTGCTGCTGCTGGTGGTCGTACACATGAGCCAGCTGCCCCAGGGCGGGGTACGGGTGCTGGGGCTGACCCATGCCCAGAGCCCCTCCCACACTGTTGTTGACCTGGCCTCCCTCTGCAAACACACACAACAACAACATGGACGTTATGATCAGGGGGAGGAGTCAGGGTTCATCTGGATAAAGAAATGTCACTTTAGCTTAAAGTGTTTTTACAAACTAAACACACGTATCTGAGTTGGCATAATAACAGTGGGAGGAGCGGAGCTGAGCAGAAACCTGTCCCTGCAGAAGCACTTCTCAAAACTCATTATGATTATCGACGCAAAGGCCACACAGCAGTGTTTTAGAAATACATTTAAGAGCACGCTGGCATTAATACGGACGTTTAACTCAGCGTGACAACTCTATTACGAGCTATGGCTCTGGTAATGGACAGCATGCTGTAAAAGTGGAGCTAAATGGAGTTTGAGATCGCTTGAATTCAGACAGACACAGGGTAAATCCTCAGAAGATTGTACTCAGATTGAAGTATTTCTAGATACAGTGACCCAAACTAATGATAATATGAAGATGTATAGAATAAAAATGCATTGATGACAGGAAATACTATACTAATATAGCATTACAAATTCCCATAGTTGACAACAAGGGTCAGAAATACAATATTAGCCAACTGAGTAAAAGCAGAAAGCAGAACCCATGAGTACTGAAAAAGAGCTAGAAAGAACAAACCCCAGGCTACTGACAAATACTTGCAAAGCTTTTTTAAAATAATTTTATTATTATTTCTTTAATCGAAGATGCAAATTTTAACTTTTTTGCTGAAGACTCTGCTACCTGCTTTTCATTGTGGAGGTAGTACTACTTTGCTTGGAATGTTCCACAATATGGCATTAAACCAATCTATTTCTACAAGCAATTGAGGGCACGTTACAGGTAAGAGAGAGGAGAGCCTGTAGTTTCATTCACACATGTTTGAGTAATCCTGCATTATTACAGCAGTCTGTCTACATCTCCAAAACTCAAAATCCTCTGTTGCACCTTGAGATGTCATGAAGCGACAGTTTTCACGTTAACAGCTACTATTTTGTTCTTTTGTTGAGTGACAGTTCTAGGTATGAAATGATTCAAATGATTCTAGTGAAGGTGCAAGGAGTGTTTCGAGAGAAGAGCTTAGTCTAAATATGCAGGGTTTGTGTGTTTAAAATGTGTGAATGAAACAAAACACAACTCCAGGTATGTTTGTGATGAGGAAACAACATTATAACACAGATAATATGGGTCCTTTAAGTCAGATAAAGTCAATTTCGTGGCCATTTAACCTTGAATTCCCATAAATTCCACTTTTGCTAATTCTAATTCAAGACCTCAGCCCCGTCTTCGTCCTAGAGCGGGACAGTTGCGTTGACATTTCACATTCCCACAGTCTGCAGAATCGTGCCCCAAAATGGCCGCCGTTTATCTCCCGGTTACACCACTGCTGGACCGTCGCCATGGCGCGCAGCTGTCTCCCATTATAGCACATGTCATTCTGCTTAATACAGATTTGGTCACACTCTGGAGGTCATTCAGTGTATACACTCCACATCTGCTGCTGTCTCTGGATTCAGATGGGTTGAAGTTCAAGTCAAGACTGAAGCAAATATTTCGTTTTAGTCCATGGAAATGTGATGCTAATTTAGTCGGTTGAATATATAATAGTTTAAATCAACTAGAAATATTTTATTTTAAAGGTGCACTGCGTAAATTTTCTGATAGGAGGTCTGCTGATTTTATTGCTTTGCTTAGACGTTCTAGCGAGACTGGAGCCACCTAGTACCTCCGCTCAATTTCATTTCTCTCCAGCGACTAGGTCAGGAATCGGAATACAATAGACGGTTCGCAAAAATCCCAGAAGTGCAAATTTGGACAACAGCCAATCAGCAAAGAGCCATACATTTTGTGTTGTCAACAATTCCCGAGATCAAGGATTTAAAGCTGGATTAAAGAGAATGTTTGGTGAATTTTATCAAGGGGAAAGACGTTATTGCCCTTCTTCCTACGGAATTTGGGAACAGCTTAATATATCAGTTAGCCCTGTTAGTGGCGCATTACGTACAGTACGTCACGACCAAATAGCAGCGATTGGTTAAATTAAAAAAGTACCCGCCTACCGTCGAGCGAACAAATCCTTATGCTGTGAGGTGAATCAGGCTAGGAATGTTCCACAGTAGAGCATCAAAAATACAGTATATAGCTTTTGCATTAATTTTGTTTTGAGTTAGGTTTAATACTGCTCTAAAGTACCTTGAAAAACATGCATTCTTACTGTGCTTGGGCTTGCCTTTCCATAAATCTGACTTGTAACTTGGACTGGTTGTAGCATCTTGTATCCTGTTTTAGTCATAATTTTAGTCTTAATTAACTCAATATTTTTATTTAGTTTTTCACATTTTACACATGCCATTTCACCTAAGGGTGCACTGTGTAACTTGTTGGTTAGGGGTCCGTGAGCTGCTTGTTTCTATGGATACGTCATTGCTCTGCCTGGAATGTTCCACAGCGTGACATAAAACAGTTCTACCTTACATTTATTCAATTACAGGTGGTTTTATTGCTCAAAAATACATAGAAAAGCAGATATTCTGACTGTAAACGAGGTTGCCTCTCCACAGATCTGACCTGTAGCTTGGCCCGGTTTGTTCTCCATGAAGATAAAAAGGCTTAATACCATACTGTGAAACATTCCAGACAAAGCAATAACATCTCTGCATTTGACGGACCGTCCACCTGAAAAGTGACACAATGCACCTTTAATACGGATTTGTTCCCACCCTAGAGGTCATTCAGTACACTCACTGTACATCTGCTATCAATTACATCGTCTTTATACACACAACATTCACCGTATTGATTTGGCGTATGGCTGTCTCCCACCTGACGCGCAGTACAGCCCTTCTATTGACTTTTGCATTTGTCTGCACCAATCCTGCAGCGTCAAAAAGTGGGAAAAATGCGACGTTAAATTGACAGTTTGACCAGGCAATACTCAGGCCCATACCCTAGTCGTCGACCCTTGACAACAGACATACGAAATGGAGCGATTAACTCAAAAGCAATAATACGTTTTCATTGCAATCAGGTATTCAAATGTTTTAATTTTAATTTCTTCTCAGTGGATGAACTTTAAATCCACTTTTTTTAATGTCTGAAAAAGTTTGCGCTGTGATTAACTGGCGACTATTCAGGGCCATACGCGCAAAGCAAAGAGAAAGTGACGGCACTGTTGGAAATTTGAATAACCTGACAGATACCTGATTGTGAATTTTAAATGAAATGTCTATGCTTTAGTTAACTTTGTCCGTGGATGGTGCGTCACTTGCTTGTATCCACTGAGCTGTACTGCTTTGCTTAAAATGTTCCACACTATGAAATTAATCTTATCTATTTCCATGGAGACAAGCCGTGACTTCAGATCACATTACAAATCAGCTCTGTAACTCACTCAGGGTAAGAATGGATGTTTTTCAAGTTTTTGATTAGATTTTTTATTTTATTAAAGCACCTGTTATACTCTTTGAATAATAGCCAGACGGGTTTAATGTGACAAGCTGGAGGCAAACTCCGTACAAGAAAACATAAACATAATGCAGCTTTAGATTTATATGAGGTGTTTGATTTTCTGATTCTTCTCACCACTCCAAGACATCAGTGTTTATTCCTCAGAGTGTTAAGACTCGTGCTTGCTCTATCAGACTACGAGATTGTCAGGTGGATTGGTAAAGAAGGAGGTGAATCTAAACACAAAGCTCTCCATTTACTTTCAACATAACCTTAGAGGTATTGTGAGGAGCTCAGTCACACGGGAGGAGGTCGGAGTAGATCTGCTGCTCCTCTAGGTGGACAGGAGGCAGCTGAGGTGACTTACACTGTTCCCCCTGTGACTATTAGATAATAAGATGGATGAACTTACTGTAATGTGCAATAGCAACCTAACCTGATTCATCAGCTGGCTTCAATTCGTTAAATCCGTCTGACCTCGCAGCATTAGGATTCATTCACTCGACAGTAGGTGGGTACTTTTTTTTATTAAATCAATCGCCGCTATTTGGTCGTGACATATGTAATACGCCAAATCCCGTAGGAAAAAGGGCAACAATGTCTTTCCCCTTGATAAAATTCACCAAACATTCTCTTTGTTCCGGCTTTAAATCCTCAATCTCAAGAATCGTTGCCAACACAGAATGTATGGTTTCATCTACATAACAGGTGTCAAACATAAGGCCCGGGGGCCGGATCCGGCCCTCCAAGACCTTTAATGTGGCCCTCGGCTGATTTTCTACTAAAATATTTTAATTATATTTTCTATTAAAATATTGGTAATTTTCTGTGGTGCTTAGCATAACAGTGTCTCCAGCGTCTCTGTACGTGGCCCCTCCCACCAGAGCAGCACAAATGAAGACTTGTCTCTTTCCAAACGCTCTTAAAGGACGATCGTTTTGACTGTTGACCGTGACACCCTCATCAGAAAAATGTCCAAAATGAGAAAAGTGGAGCCGAGTGCAGGATTTTCCAAGAAAAATTTACTTATTCCTATTTGAATACAAGTTCATATTAAAACATTGTGTTGAAATTGCATTTATCTTAAAGTTTCAGGTTTGTACATAATATTATAATATTTTATAAAAGAAACAGTTAATCAGTTATTCTGTAATAGATTTGTGTTTCTCTGCACAAATATTTGAACTTATTGCTATTTTTGGGGTATATATGCCATGAGTTTTCTGATCCGGCCCCTTTGGGATCAAAGTAGGTTGGATTTGGCCCCCGGACCAAAATGAGTTTGACACTCCTGATCTACATCATCTCAACCGCTTTGTTTACTGTTGTGCTGTACCACAATAGGGACCCAAGCACTTTCACATCTCTTCCCTGATTGGCTGGTGCGTGGTCTCCAACTTACAGGGTTCGTGCAAACTGTCTAGTGTATTCTGATTCCTGACCTAGTCGCTGGACAGAAATTGAGCGGATTCTATTAAATTCAACTATTTTTCGCAATCAAATGTCATTTTGTGTTCATGAGTATCTGCGCTTTTCATACAGACATTAACATTAATGCGGAATATTGTAATTT